TACCATGTTTCAAAAAATCCTTTGGAAGTAAGTACTCTAAATATTTGCAAGGAGGGTAAAAAATGGTGACTTTTAGTCACTTTGATATCAATTTGAATAATTTGGCCTATCACAGCAGAAAAGTTGATCATGGAAATCTTTCTTCATAATGGTGCTTTATCCAAAAAGCCAAGGTGGATGTATCTTATTGTTTACAAACAACCTGAACAGCAAAGGACTTAGCACAAAGTATGCCATGGCAATAATTCTTAGAGTGTCCTAGTACCTTCACTCAAAGATTCCTCTTCTGAGAAAGCAATCAATTTAGTCTTACTTGTCAGAAAATAAAAGAAATTAATTTTTCCTGGGGCTTCCTTCTCAAAGTGTGGCTTTTGAGAAATTACCATTTAACCTTTTTCTTTATAAAATGGAAATATCAGTGCTAATATACTGGCCAAGATACTATGAAAAGGTATTTAATGTTTTCTAGAATCCCAGGGCTTAGCTATATTTTTGCACAGTTGACATAACATTTTTTGTTTTTCACTTTAGAGGTTACTTCAAGGCCAAAAATGTAGTACTATGTATGTTTGGTATTGATTGTTTTCTAAAAAAGGAAATTATAGCTTAGGGAAAAGGTTTTTTTTTTCATAGCCCTTTTCCATATTGAAATAGAAAAAGAAAGAACAGCTATGATATAAGCCTTTTTTTTTTCAGTAAAGACAAAATTCACGTTTCATTTATGGGAAAGTTTTGCAGAATCACACTGACGAAAAGTGATTTTTGCTTTGGCTTTTCTGTGAAGTTGTTGAGAAACGCCAAAAATTACTGGCAGTGCTTTTGTATAAAAACTTCACATGGATTGCATTTGTAGTTTTGCCAAGTACGTAACTCAGGTCATCAGTGACACACATATCCATGCATTGGACTTGGTCAGTGAACAGAAATCTGTCATGAACACTAGATATAATATTACATTATAGATAGACCAAACCACACAGATTACAGTGAGGTAAGCCTTGAATTGACATGCTTTGGAGTAGGGGCTCCTAATCCCTACTCCCATAGATGGGAAAGCCAGTTGTTTACTGATTTTGACAGCGACATCACTTGGCAAACGTTTTGGCGTACATTCAGTCTGTGACATCACTCGCCTTTAGGTTTTTCCACATGAAAAATGAATTCTCTGAAGAAAACATGGAAATTGAGCCTTAATTAGAAATCCATTATTATACCCTCTAAGAGGCCATTAATTACCTCACTCACATAAAATAAAAATTTTTGTTAATTTTTTGTTAAGTAAATATTATCTAACATTTGTAAGTGCAGTGCTAAATGTGCAGTGACTTTTAAAGTTTCAGTAAGATAATACTTCAAAGTTATCCTTACCCAAACTCCTTTTATGGAGCTTGTAATATTTTCTTTCTTTGTACTTTTGGAATCACTGATTGGAGGGTGGTTTACAGAACTATGATGAAGGAAGTAAATTCCTTATTACAAACTAGCTTTGGTTTTATGAGGGGGGAGTAGTTTTGTGCTTGAGAAGAAGTATTCAATAAAGTTGGAAGGACTCAATAAATGGTGTGTGTGTTGTCTGAGAATGACATGAATAGTATTTCCATCCTGTGTAAGCACCTCTTCTGTGTATATTGCCCTAAAGTTATTTGTTTCCTCCACTTCCTACTTAGATTAATGGTGTTTATTAATTCCTTTGATGCCCAAAGTCAGCTATGCCTTATGATGCCTGCAAATCTTTTACCTAAGGGAGAGGACTCAGGAGGACCCATGTCCCAATAATGCCAAGATAAGGGAATCATGATGTTGTACAGACAGAGCAGAAGAATGATCTGTACCATGTTGAGAATAAATAGGATTAACATTCTCATACTCAAAGTGCTCCATCTGGAAGCTGTTCTTTGGCAAAGAGAAAAGGGTGACTATTCTCGGATCCCTAGAATTATTGAATAGGGAATGGGAGTATTCATCACTTTTCCCTATTTTTTGGTAAGGGTTGTTCTCTTTCATTATTCTGCAGGATAAAAATGTTTTCTGTCCTTAATAATTGAAAAATACTTTTATTCAAGTTCTTTCTCTTAACCCTCTTGGATATATGCAGAAATACCGTTCTTAATGTAGCGATTCCATGGTTTATAATTTGCATTCATTACACTGTTTTTCTTTTCCTCAAATCTATGCCCTTATCCCAGTTGATCTCTTGTTCTCAATGTACATTTCATTGTACTTAACTCTCTTTTGCCTCTTGACATTGCATTGTTACTTGTGGATAATTCTCAGACTTCCTTCAGAAGAAGCAGGAGTATAGCAGTGACTATTAAACTGTGCCACCATCAGACCGATATATTATCACCTTAAATCTGTGTCATCTTGCATCATTGTTTATGTGGTACATTTCTTGATCAGGGATAGTCCACTCCTCTGTTCTGTGGTATGGAGCACTCACCATGGTTCAGTAATGAGAGATGATAGGAAGTGTCTGTTCCACAAAGGAGTGCCAAGAAAGTATGAAGGCCAAACTGTGGCTATGGGTGCCAAACCATTGGTTTTCAAAATAGTATTTTATATAACATTGACTCATTGAATAACAAATCTTATACTGCAATAGCTGAGTCAAACTTTCCTTGGGTGCCAGACTTCTTGTGTCCCTTTAATTTGCCTTGGAAGATATTTTCAAGTCCATGAGGGGCAGAGTAACTAAATCCTCATCTCTGTAGTGAGTAGAAAACATCATTATGAGTGTAGAGTAAAAAAACTGGATGTGAGGAACATGGATTTTTTGGCCTCCTGGCCCAGAGTATAGCATGAGGTGCACTGAAAAGAAATGCCCTGTTGGTGATCTAGATAAGATGCAAATTGTAAGCAATTACATAAAGCAGTTGAAACTACTAGTATTTTAGAAAAAGGAAAATCACAAATAAATTTTTTGGAATTTGTTGGAATATAGCATCATTAATTCTGTGAAAAGAGTAGGAATGGAATAACAGAATTGGTATGAAGATTCAGTATTCTTGAACATTGCCATAATTGGTTATTTTCTATTTTTTGCAGTATTGATATAGAAAGCTAATTGTTCTTTCATTAATATGGATATGCATATTTTTGTTTATAACAGAGGATGATTAAAGTAGAAACAAATAAGCTACTATGCATATAGTTATAAAATATTTACTAATTGATCTTTCCTTTTCTTCAGCCAAATTTCTCATATTGTAAGTTTACATTTTGAGCTTCTGTGTTCTCATTTCTTATTTAATCTTTAAAGTGCTATGATTTGGCTTTTCCCAACACTGTTTTTTTTTTTTGAAAGGACATTCCCCACTGTCTTTTTGGTTGCCAAATACTGGGACATTTTCTCGTCCTTTTCTGAATTATTTGGTGCTACTTGACTGCTCTATATTGCCTGAAGTTCTCTTCTTGTTTGGTTTCTTTTTTTCCTTTCTCTTCTGTTTCTTTCAGCTCTCTACCATTCTGCCTTTAACTCTAAAAAACTGCCACACATTAATTTTTTTTAAATTTTATCTCAAACTTCTCTCTCATCACCATACCAACACCTATAGCTTCAGTTTATACTAACTGCAACTCATATTCCCTGCCTACTGTTTTACAGACCTATTTTTCCAACTAGGTATTGTCTTCAGATATAGCTTTCTTTCCACTGGATCTTGGAAAATACAAGGAAATATCTTATATCAATATGTCTGAAACAGAATCGCCTCCTTTTAAATCATTCTTTCATACCCAAATCCTGCTACAACAAAATGCTGTCCCCATTCTTATTATTTTGTTCCTTGGCAAGTAATCAGAAGGGCATAATAAAAGATTCTTGTTTTCCTCACTCACTTTATAAGCAGTTCAGCTATACCATCTCAACTGGATAATATTGACCATACAACAATATTTTTTTTCTTATTTCCATTCCAAGCTTTCTCATCCTACAGACATTGAAATCATTGAATTTAAAGCATCTGATGTCTTCTTTGTTGTCTTACTGATTTTTTTTTGGTGGATTGAGGGTGTCTAGACACCACTCGAGGTGGTAATCTAGAGGCAGTCTCAAGGGCTCTAGAAGGCACTCCCCAGCGACTCTTTGTGGTTCATTGTGATGGACCAAAAGGTTGTAGGGCTGCTCGCATCTTCCAGAGCTGTGACAGCAACGCTTGGAAGACCCCGTGGTGCTGGGGATCAAACTGGCATTGTCTGCATGCAAGACATGCACCCTCACCCCTGTACTATCTCTCTGGCCTGCATCATGATTCTTCAATAAAGCATACTTGGGAACTGGGGTGATATTAGAGGATATCGGGTGTTTCAGTGGCGCACATGGGTTCAATTCCCAGCATCCTCTGTAGTCTGAGATCCCTGACAGGAGTGATCAGTAAGTGCAGACAGAGTCAGTAAGTCCTGAGCACTGCTAGTTGTTGCCAAAAAATTGAGAGAGAGAGAGAGAGAGAGAGAGAGACAGACAGACAGACAGACAGACAGAGACAGAGACACAGAAACAGAGAGATTCCCCTTCTTGCTTCTTTCCATTTGTCACTTGTTCCTTCTTGTCAACAATATAAAGTCCAACTACTTGTAGCTAGTCTTTGCTTTTCTCATTCTTCATTCACACCTAGTGTTGCAACCACCGGAAAAGCTTGGGTTCCTTTAGTGTACCTACTGCTTTCTTACCTCCATCCTATAAGGCTTATTTCTGTCCCTGCACTAGCTATAATTTCCTTGCCTTTGTGCATAGGGACTGGATCTCCATTTATTTCCTCGTTTGTTGCCTTTCACAAGGCTTTCCCATGAAGAGTTGGGTACCCAGCTAGATTATTCCCATGGTCCTATCACACTTTGTTATTTTTGCATTGTGCTAATAGTCTTAAAAGTCTCATTTTCCTCACTATAAGATTTTGGTGAACAGAGACTGTGTTATATTTGTCCTTGTGTCACTGTATTCCATAATGAGGAGTTAATAAGAGTATGCAGAATAAGTAATGTATTGTCTAAGGCAGTCTTACCTTTCATATTCCTGTTCTAGTAAACTTATGAACGCATCATTCTTCTCCATGTATTCTTTGTGTTTTCTCCTTTCTTCCTCCAACTCCAGTATGGTTTGTCTGTGAGAATTTTCTGCCATTAAAAGCTGGTCCAGGATTCGTCTGTATGATTCCTTATATCTTCCCATGACTTTGTCCAACTACAAAAGAACATGTGGTTATGTTATGTTAAGTAAAAATTCACACAATAAAAATTACTCATAGTGCTGCCACCTTTTACTCAGCTAAACATGTGTAGGTTTTTTCTTTCTTTCTTTTTACTAAGTCAGCAGTGGGTTTTAGACCTTATTTAGCCTCTATTACTTATTTTCCTAATTGAAAACCTTTTGATGCATTTCAACACCAATGTAATATTTTTAATGTAATATATTTAACTATCCTTACAATTTTCCTAGAGTGAATAATTGGTGCTTGTGGAGGTATCAAAACAATTTCCACATACCTCTTTGCTGACAGTTTCTCTCCACAGAAACCATAAAACCATAAAATAGGAATGATGGTAAGGGAGGGAATCCCTGTATAAATGTTTGATTCTGCCTGAGTTGAGCTATCTTAGATATTTCTCCTTCCCAACCCTCCATATATTACTCACCTGTATGTGCCTCTTGACTCGCATCTGCGGTCTGTTTCGCTATATTATGCATCAAGGTGTGTGTGTGTGTATGTGTGTGTGTGTGTGTGTGTGTGTGTGTGTGTGTTTAATCAATAATCAATTCTGATTGGGTATGTAGTGTGACTGTGACCAAATATAAGTGTCAATCCTTCCTGATTTCCATTTCCTTTTTATGTTTCTGTTATAAAATAACAGTGTGTGTATATATATATGTATGTATATATGTGTATATATGTATACATATATATATATATATATATATAAATGGCGCGCTTCTAATAAGATTTACTTGACAAAGAATCTAAGGCATAAAATGGCCAAGCCATTTCATAAAATGAGCATAACAAAGATAGCCCCACATCTGAAACCCAACTAATTCTCACTTCTCTAAATATTTAGGCTGATTGTCGAGTTTTCTAGTGTGGTTTGTAAAAGTGATTTAACACGCTTTTGAAAAAAACTTTATAATATCACTTTATAATATTGCCTGTTTCAATAAATGCAGTCAGTGCTTTGGTGGAAATGAAGAGTGCTTCAACAAAGCAACACAGTTGAACAGCCCCTGTGCTTTTGCATTGCTTGTTGGTAGTAGCTGTTAACTCATGATCATTTTCTGAGGGGGAAATTGTAAGTTAATTTCCTGGATTTCAAGTCCTCCAAAATAGTCAGAGAAATTCAAATCAGCCACTTTTTGAATTTGAGAATGACGTAGTGGCAGAATAAATATTAATTTTAAAAATTGCTAATTGGGACCAGAGAGATAGTACAGTGGTAGGTCCTTTGCTTTATTTCACCGTTTCAATTCCTAGCACCCCATAGCAGCTCCTGAACTCTGCCAAGTGGTGATCTTTCAGTGTAGAGCTAAGAGTCCTTGAGCACTACTGGGTGTGGCCCCAAACCAAATATTTAAATAAATAAATTGGCAGTTGACTTAGAAAGACATTTAATTTTTCACACATTCTGTCCAAATTAATAGGTTAGTAATTATTACAGTTTAGTAATCATTACAGGATTACAGTAATCATTACAGATATGTAACGAATTAGAAATGAAAAACTAAAGGAGGCTTGAATGAAAAAAAAAAAAGATTTTTATACTTGATCACTTTTTGTAACTATATGGGCATGGGCCCAGAGAGAGAAAACTCAAATCTTATTTAATCCACTATTGATTTTCATTGTTCTTTTTCACCCTTAGTTGTTTGCTTGATGGGTCTCTGGGTCAGGAAGTTGGAAAAGCTCCTTTCCCTTTATTAGTTCTGTGACTAATGGTCTCTGCTACTTCAGCCTCATCTCTTCCATCCTACTCTCTGCAGTGACAACCTGGTCTTCCATTTGTAGGTTTATGCTACTTTCCTCTTCAGAGCTAAAATTGTCTTTCACCCTCTAACCTTTTGACATTCAGCCCTATTCCTATTGAGACCTTCCTGTCTTTTTTGTTTTGTTTTGCTTTGTTGTGTGTGTGTGTGTGGGGGGGGGGGGGGGGCGGAGGGCATGTTTGGCAGTGCTCAGGTTTCCTGCTGGCTCTGACTCTGTGCTCAGGGATCATTCCTGTTCGGGCTTGGGGGACCTTTTGGGTTAGTGGGATTGAACCTGCAAATGGTCTTTCTACTATACTAACCCTCCAGCCCCCAGAACTGCCCTTCTTTCTCACCAAACTTGCAGCCATAATGGACTCGGGAAGTCTGTCAAACATTCTACGGTGCTTCACTCAGTTCTGAGAACTAGAAATCTTTCTCCTTTTCTACACCAAACTTACCCTGTTCTTTGTAGCTTTTTCTGATCGTTCTTGTTTTGTTTTATCAGTAGCATGCCTAATTTCCTAAGCTTTCCGTTTATCATATTCCAATACCCTTGAAAAATATCTTGAATTTACTGTTCGCTTTTTGGTGCAACCACAGAGAAACTCATGCTTGTCAGCAGCAGTAAAATTTAATTTAAAACAATTTTTTGGTGTAGGGAGAGCGTCTTCAGTGACTGTCAGGGGTCCAAGGCCACCCGGATGATGGAGAGGTGGCAGGAGAAGGCGGGGCAGCCTGTGTTACCAGGAATTGAACTTGGGCCCTGTCTCTTTCCAGGCCTGTGCTCTATCTCCCCAACTCAGCAGCAATGATTCTAAAACTTGAACAGTGATGGGAAAAGTTTAGTTGTTACCTTGCAAAGGGAAAGTTCCCAAAGAGTCACTAATTGTAGTTATTTCAGCAGATAATTGAAATTTTGGAGCACTTTTATTTCTCTATAATCATAAAGAATGCCTTCTGGAAAATATGCAAGTCATTCTCAATTCACTGTCTTCTCATTTCTGATCAACCAAACGAGGGCCCTGGTGCTTCCGGAACTAGCTGTATTTTCCACTCCCTATGTGCCTGAGCTTGGTCAGCCACTTCAGTATTTTATCCTTCAGGCATTTCCTTCATAAATTAAGTGCTTGGATTTGATTTCTACAATCAGTTCTAATACCACAGTTCTTTCAAGGCTACAGCTATGGGTTAACTGCTGTGCTGCATATACTTAGCACTGTGATGGGTTCCTTGAGGAATACGAGATAATTTGAAGTTTTGATGCCTCCACCCTGACCAGGAAGATAATATACCTGCACATGACACCATTAGGGACAGTTTAGGGGGAGTAGGGGGAGGGTATCATGTAGTGTTTAGGGACTATATGAACCACTCTTTTCTTTTTTTTTTTAATCTATTTTACTTGCAAAATGGATCAAGCTAGAAAAGATGAAATTTCTTGAGTGTTTCAGAGGGTGTTAAGGACAGAAAAATTTTGAAAGATGTCTTTTTCATGTTAGCTGTGCAATCACTTCTGCTCATTAATCCAGTCCTTAATGTCCTGTGTCCTGACCCTATTTCCAGACACAACTGAAATCCGTACCCAGGACAAAGCACAATGTGTTCCTTAGGTTAGATCCCTGGAGGTTCTTCTCTGATCCAAGTGCATAAAGAATCAAGGCTCTTTCCATTTTTTTGCTTTCAGTTACTTAACGTGTGTTTAGAAAAAAAAAATAATTACCTTTGTTTTATTACCTTCTGAATCACAAACCACCCTCATTTTTTGAGTTGAATCTTTGCACTGTTATTTTCTTTCTCTTTCTTCTTTACCATCGGCTCTTAGAAGATTGACCTCTTTTTTGTTTTTGTTTTTTGTATTACCATGAATATATGGATAGAGATTAAACTAATACAGAAGACAGAGAAATTATCCATTTTAGCGGACCCAAATAATAGAAACGATATTCACAAAATGCCTGTTCTTCCTTCACTTTTCTGAACCCTGTGTATGTTTGATTATAATACTGGAGTCCTAAAATAGACTTCCATCATCTCATTGCTTTGGTATCTTAGATTCAGGGCGGATGTTGAGGAGGGGGGAGTCGGAGGGGGAAGAGGCATGATTTCTTTACACTGTAGAGCAGTTGTAGACCCTCTGAAAGTTCTTGTGTGTCTTCATTGTCACTCTGAACAGTGATAGTCTTCTCTCCTTTTGGTCATCTACTAAGCCACAAGTCACTGGCTTCCAGTCTATCTTTCCACCCCTAGACAGGGTAACATACTGGGTGATTTGCCGGTTTAGCTGATCTCTCATAGGGCTCTTATGCTTCAGCAGCATCTTCCCTCTGCCCTCAAGGCACATGTTTGAAGCTCATGCTTTTTTGTTTGTTTGTTTGTTTGTTTGCATTTGAGACCATATCTGGCACTGATCAGGGATGACAACTGGCTCTGCATTCAGGGATCACTCCTGACATCCTGCCAGGGATCAATCCCAGTTTCACTGTATGCAAGGCAAATGCCTTACCTACTGTACTGTCTCTTTGGTCCCATCCCAGTGGTGTTTTGGAGGTTGGGGGTGGGGGCAGGAGGTGCAATATCTGGTAGTACTCAGAGCCTACTCTGGCTCTGCACTCCAAGATCACACCTGGCAGTTGGACCATAATGGTATGGCCAGTTCTCATGTTTCTTCTGCATTTTTTTTCCTTTTTGGGTCACACCCAGCAATGCTCAGGGGTTACTCCTGGCTTTTCACTCAGTAATTACTCCTGCTGGTGCTTAGGGGAACCATATGGGATGCTAGGGATTGAACCCGGGTCACTGCGTACAAGGCAAATGCCCTACCTGCTGTACTATCGCTCCAGCCCTTCTTCTGCATTCTTAACCCCCTCTACACACACACACACACACACACACACACACACACACACACAGTTTTTCCCCCATCCCTTTTTAGACCCGTACCCAGCAATCTTCGGGACTTACTCCTGCCTCTTTGCTTGGGGATCACTCTTGGAGGGCTCAAGTAATGTGGTACTGGGGATTGAACTTGGGTCAGCCAGCCTCCAGCCCCTCCAGCCCTTTTTGTCTTCTTCCAGACTTTAGCCCATTATGGTCCTCTCTCTCTCTCTTAATATTTGAAGCCCCCTCTCTCATCAAAGACATGGTCAATCCTGCATTTGAAAAAAGCACATGCATGCAACATATGCAAAACAGGAGGAGGAGTGTTTTCCATATGGCTTAATTTTTAGGGTTCTTCATCTCACAGTATCTTCCTAGGCCATACCTCAGCCCCAGCAGTGTGTTAGCTTTGTCTGATTGTGGCAGGAAGCTGCAGGGACATTGGCTGAACTGCAGAGACTCATGTCGACCTAGCCACATCTAGAGACAGTTTCCTCCATTTCCTGTTGTCTCTAAGAAATGCTAAGCTTGCCACCCTGGGTGAGAAACCTCAGCTGAGCCCAGGAGTGAGTGAAGAGATCACGATCCCCAAAGAGATCATGGCCACCCGTAGGAGCAGGTGTCTTTCTACCTGTGAAGTACTAGAGTACCGTTAACTTTGTTCTCACCTCCGCATGTTTGCTTAGGGTATAAAAAGAGAAATGAGCCCTCATTTGGTGCTCAATACTTTGGATGTGAATCCTGCTGAGCCTGTGCCTGTACTTCATAAAACTTTTTCCTGAAGCCTTTAGTGTCCTGAAACTCCATTCAGGATTCCCAGTACATAGTATTTTGTAAAATTTGTATTAGTAATGCATTTTTCACTTGTAATCTCACAAGACTGCCTTAAAAAAAAAAAAAACCAACAACCTCATCCTACTTTCCTTGCTAGGTAGTTTTGGAGAGCCTGTGAACCTTTCCAGTAGAGGGAAGTTTATGTGGTTCCACACTTATTTCCATAGTTAAGTTATTGCTAGCCATCTTGGTATAGGAAATGAGTCCAGAAATGTTTTACTGACTGCTGTACCATTTTGTCAAAGGTGGCAGACCAGAGATTTTATTGCAAAATGAATATGTCTTCTCATTCCCAATACTGGACACTTGTGGATAGCAGAAAAGTTTTAAAACATATGCAGCCAAAAGCTCTGGAACTTTCCCTTTAAGTTTCTGGCTTCAGGATTTCTCCATGTGAATTGCTTCCATTTCTCCATGCAGTTAAGAGTTCCATCTGCCTGTGCACTTAAGAGTGTGCTCACTATTTTCTCTAATGTTTCAAGTACTTTTAGTGATGTGATTTCATGACATGCAGCCCACCATGTTGCTGGAACTGGAATGGTGATGTTCTACCTGACTAATCCTGCTCATCCTGTGGATCTGACTTTCCTGATACTTCACCATAAGACGCCTGGGGCTTTGTGATTTTTAATCATGGAAGTGAAAAGAAGAGTAATTGTATGCTCCTGTGATCATATTTTATCCTTCATTCAGACATTGGGTGCTCTGAAGACAGGAACCATAAGATTTTTATACAGTAGAAATTACCAAATAATGTTTAAAACTTAAAGTATACAGTTGCAGAAATTATGAACTTGAAGAATAACACTGGACCAGAGAAATAGCTTGAGGTTCAGGGGTACATGACTTGCATGCACAAGACCCAGAGTTCTATCCCTGGCACCATCTGACCCACCAAACACCTTTGAATGTGGCCCTTGTGACCCACAGCACTGTTGCATCGCAGACCACAGCATTGAACTCTCTGACCCTTTTGTTTGAGTATCAGCAGCAGTGACCCTGGATCACTCTGAGGATTGCTTGGGAGGTGTTTATACACACACACACACACACACACACACACACACACACACACACACACATATATCATCATCATCATCATCATCATCAACATCAAGAGAAAACTTCCTTGTTTTTTATAGTACCTTTATAAATTCAAGGTCCAAGGTATTCTATTTTCCTTGATATCCTATTTTGAATAATAAAACTATATTAGAAATATATGAGAATTAAGACTACCTCTTTACTAAGATGAACTGGGTTAGTCAGGAATAGGTGATTGAAGCTGTAGTAGACTCAGCTTTCCTCTCAACAAACCCACTATACCAGTCCCCAACCCCAGCCCCATCCTTTGTTCTAGCTCACAGGCCTCCACCAGTTTTATTTTTATCTGAAGTCAGTTTTTCTACTATCTGATGTAAGTCAGAAGAGTTTGCTTTTCTAAGTTGTTCTCCTTAAAGTAGATAAATTCACTCTAGTTTGTCCGAGACATTGTGGGAATGTTTTACATTTTTCAAAAAGAACATTATGAGCTAAATAAAAGGAGGAAGAATAGAACAAAACAGAAGAAAAATAAACTTTTAGTCTTCAGATCTTTATTCTGATCTCTGTTGCTGCCACAAATGTTCTTCATGGGAATATTGTCCTCTCTTTTCTCCAGCCTTATCTAGGGAATCTTAATCAAATTTCTCCTGCACTCTTTATTCTCCTTTCACATGTTCCTTCCTGGCCAGAAGAGTGTAGGTCACTGGTTCATTAGATAGATAGAGTTAATGGCACTCACAGAATTGGACAGAATCGTGCCGTGAAAAGTAAAATCTATAAGGGGGGAATAAAAGTTGAAAGAAAGTGGACAAATCATATAGCTGAGAAAATTGAGAAGAGCCACCAAAGAAGGATGGATTTGTAAAGGAGCACCCCTATTTTGAGTACTTTCAGGGTGCATTTTGCAGAGTTTGGATTGCCAGCTTTGGCAGAGAGTCGGAGTATTTCCAATTTTTAACAAGTGTCATAGAACTATTTTGTAACTAAAACTTGTTCCGACTGATTTCAGCATAAGTCTGGGATCACTCTGTTCCGTTTCATACTAATGTGCCAAGCAGTTGTACCATTTATGGCATTTTGTTAGTATAGTCGCAGTGATTATTAATTTGCTTTTGTGCCTATGTGGGCTGGGAAGTTGTGTCTAGTGAGTGCTTTTTCAGTCACCGTGAGGGGAGCCAGGATATGGTTTTAACACTATTGACTTGAGTGCAGCTTCAGTTTCTCTTGTTTAAAATTTGGATTAAAACACAAGTCAACAGACTTTGGGTGGTCTCATCCTCACCCCTCTGAGAAACAGATCCATATAACCAAACTCTGTCACAGTTTGGCAAGACAGTAGTCTCCTCATGAGACACCCAAGATGAGAATAGTAAGGATAATAGAGGTCGATTCTGAGGTAGGTTGCCAGAACTTATGTGGGGGAGATTTGTCCAAAATTTGCTTTCATTCTCTCCAGCCTTAACTCAGGCTCCGAGTTGTTTCCTTTTAATAAAAATGAAAAATTATGAAATTTTCCATTGAGGCCTCAAAGGAAAATAGAAGAATAAAATAGGGATGCCAAAAAGTTTCAGAAAAAGTCTGCAAATAAAGAAGCAATCTGTGCCACATCTCGGGATAGTGGTGTCCATGTTGGACTGCTCATCTTTGCCATATTCATTCTTTGGCATTTGGTGGGGAAAGGTCTTTGCTGTCATTAAAATTTGGAAGGAAAAAGAGGGTATGTACTCATCTAAAATATATGCTTTGTAAAACTCTTGGATAGTGCTTCAGATCATTTCCATTCATGCTCAAAATTTCTATGACATAATACTTTAGTGTTTTCAAAGAAATTAACCTCTGTGGTTGAACTTTATCTGTTTTTTATTATAGCCTGAATAGTCTGAATAATCTTCAAGTCCCCCCAAAGTAGTGCAGGTTTGTGGTTAAGGGGAGGAGGAGGAGAAGGGTTTATCATGCATTCGGTAGGTCTTGGTCTAAAGTCAAGATATAAACCAAGAAGCAGAGAGATAGTACACTGGTTAAGGCCTTACATGTAGCCATTTTAATCTCCAGCATCACAAACAGTCCCCCAGGCACCATCAGCAGTGACCCCTGAGCACAGAGCCTGGAATAACCCCTGAGCACTGGTTAAGCCTACTGGAAAAAAAGGTAAACTAGTAAGGAACATCCTGTTCATGATTTGATTGGCCTTCTTTTCTTTTTCAGAGGATGTGTAATATTTTTCTCCTTTCAGTAAATATTAAATGACTTCAAGCGTAAAACTGTGAAGAATAAAGAAAATCTGTATATGCTGTGCTCATCTACCAGGTCCAGAGCTTGCCTGATTAAGTAGTTTTTTTCTTCCTTTCTTTTTTTTTTTTTTAATTTTATTGAATCGCCTTGAGATAGCGCAGATACTGTGAGCTTATCATGTTTGGTCCATTATCTACTTTCAGCACACATCTCCCATCCCGAACGATTCCTTGACTACGAAGGAGTCATTCCCTTTCTCCTCCCACGTGCATGCATTGATGGGATACATACCTCATTCATTGGTTTTTCATAGACGTCCTCTTTCCATTGGGCAGATTTTGCTTGAATAGCATCTCTCTGGAGAGCCTCCAGCACCTTCTTTGGAGTGACAAACCCATATTGAGCTTCCAAGGAAGCCAAGTCCACTTTTTCAGCCTTTAGAATGGTTATGATTTCATCTCGAGCCTGGAAGAATGAAAATCATTTCAGAAAGGTGACTATCTACCAACAATCTTGCAAGTACATCTTTTTTTTTTCTTTTTTTCTATTTGGGTCATACCCGGCGATATACAGGGGCTGTCATGGCTCTGCATTCAGGAATTACTCCTGGCAGTTCTCAGGGGACCATATGGGATTAGCCATTTTAATCTCCATTTTAATCTCTCTGGGAATCGATCCCCAGGTTGGCCACGTGCACCCTACCCGCTGTGCTATCGCTCCAGCCCTTAAAGTGCCTTTTAGTGATATTTAACTGTTTTTTCCCCTTCCCTTTCAAATATAAACAAATAATATCTGATTATAACAATTTTCATAAATGTGACAAAATCATTATTCCTCCTTTTTACACTTTAATTACACAATAAAATCTAAAAAAAGCATTCACTATACAACTTGGATAACTGTATTTTTCATTGTGTTTGACATGTAGATAATATGTACCTCTCAATGGACTGACATTTGCATTTTCAGGAGTAAGAAATACAGTTCTCCCATATAGGTAGCAATGGCTTTTGATTTTTTAACAGTTATTGGTGCCAGGACAAGTCTAAAAACTCATTGGCATGATGCGTGCAAAAGCCCCCGTACTATTTAAGCCAACCCAGAAATCATCTGGTACTATTGTGAGCCATACATGCTATGCACTGAAGCTCATGAACAGTAAGGGTAGAGGGTGTGACCTTTCACAATGTGCATGCCAGTCTCATGTCATAATGACAGCCTTCTTAGTTGTGATTAATTGCTCTTTGAGTTGGCAGACGAGAATTCTTTATATGTGTACTTATACTTTGTTTTCATGTACAGACAAGTATGAACCACAGGTGTCCATTTCTCTGGCCCCCCTACACACACACACACACACACACACACACACACACACACACCACATTCACGAGCAGCCTTTCCCTTGAAGTCTGCAGGAGAGAATTCCAACTCAGCCAACCTGCAGTTCTCCTTCCAGAATGCTGAGAAGAAACAATAAGTCGTCTCTTGAAAGATCTTCTTGTTGGTGACCGTTACCACCGTGTGGCTTGGGACTAGGAAGGATTGCGTCTGGCTCCCGCTGGGGGTCTTTGTTGGGCTGTGTCTGCTTTCTGTCTTCACATCTTTGGGAACTGTGCTCTTTAATTCGTCTGGGAAATGCCTCGTGAGCCGAGCTCTTCTCCCTGACACTGCTTCTAGAACGCATTCTTTAAGATCTGGAAGGAAGGAAGGAAGGAAGGAAGACATTTGTAACTCTTAATGGAAGTGGAGCTTTAATAACAGCTCCTATAACTTTTTTTTTAACAAGTCTGCACACTTGTTATATTTATGGCAGCCAAAGACTGCATCTCTCTGATGTCTAGAGTAAAAAAGGAGCATTAGCAGATTCATAAATCACAGACTTGTGTACACTTCTGTTTTAAAAATCAACATTAAAAAAATCGTTTTGCTTTGATTAAGATCATTTGTGGCTATGGGTAAACAAACAGTATTTGAAATCATCCACCAGTCATTTCACTTGGAGACTCCAGGTAGACCTCCAGACTGTTTATTTAACATCATTGTAATCTTAAATGTTTTTTGATATAATCGCAAAGTGGCAAAATTGGGAACGGTTTGAAGTTTTTTCAGATTCACATTTTAAAGTTTTCAAAATTTTCTTAGCCTTTGATGACTTTCAATAGAAGTGTCAGAACTCTTGGGTTATTTTGTTATGTCTTATTTGTTTGTTTTGGGGCCACACCAGGCGATGTTCAGGGGTTGCTCCTGGCTCTGTATTCAGGAATTATTCCTGGCAGTGCTCAAGGAACCGTATGGAATTCTGGGGATCAAACCCAGGTCAGTTGCGTGCAAGGCAAGTGTCCTACCCACTGTACCCTCTCCAGCTCCTGCATTATTTTGTTATGATAACAGAAATTTTCACTACACTTGATCTTAGCCAAAAACTGGAGCGATAGCACAGCGGGTAGGGCGTTCGCCTTACAAGCGGCCAACATGGCCGACCCGAGTTCGATTCCTCCGCCCCTCTCGGAGAGCCCGGCAAGCTACCGAGAGTATTCGATATGCCAGACACAGTAACAACAAAGTCTCCAATGGAGACGTTACTGGGCCCGCTCGAGCAAATCGACGATCAACGGGAGGGCCTTTAATTTAATTTAATTAATTTTAATTTAACAGAAATTTTCATCTGTTTCTTGGGTTTTGAGGATTTCATTTTTGTTTTTATTTTGTTTGGGGTTTGGTTTGAGGGCTGCGCCTGGTAATACTCAGAGGCTATTCTCAGATTTGTGCCCAGAGCTTGCTCCCAGAGGTGCGTGGGACGGGGCGGGGGAGCGGGGGGGGGGGGGGGGGTGTTAAACTCAGGTGTTCCATCGGCCAAACATGCATTCAGCCTCTTGACTCATCTCTCCAGAGTCTAGTTTTCAAGGAATGAAGACTGGGTCTCTGGCTATATGCCAAGCACTCTGCTAAAATTCCACACTCATTCTTTGGTAAGACTAACACTTACGTTTAGAACCTTCACCTCTAAAACAGGGACATTATTGACTATTATAATTGACCATTATGGAAACAATATAAAATAAATATCTTAGGGACACTTAACTCCACTTCTGATAATGTAATTGTACAGATTAATTTAAAATAGCAAGAAAAATGGTTACCACCATTGAGGTTCCTAATCTCAAGATCAAGTAACTGGGTGGCTGGAGAAGTGACAAGGAGGTAAGGTGCTTTCTTTGTGTGTGGCTGACTCGGGTTGAATTCCGGGAACCATATATGGTCCCTGAGCTTCCATAGGAGTGACACTTGAGCACAAAGCCAGGAGAGTAAGCCCAAAACACTGCTGGCCCCCAAACAAAACAAACAAACCAAACAATGGTCAAATAACTGTTTAGCTAAGAGTCTATTTCAAAAGTTTCCAAACTTTTTTGGCATATTGCCTCCTTTTCAGAAGCACAGTTACTCAGCACCTCCCTGGAAATCTACGGACTTTAAGTGAACAAAGTAAAAGTACCTCTGGATTGTGCCTGAAACTACCTTTGCCCTCCCTGTCCCCCTCCTCATTCGCGGGCTCCCTGAGAGAGAGAGTATCACTCACTGATTTACTTCAGTGATATGTTGGTGTAGTGCTGACTGGGGTTGCACACATGGTTTTGGTGTGCTAGAAATTACACACTTAGCTGTAACACTGGAATCACCAATATAAATGTCATTGAGATGGAACGTGGTATGTGGTGTGGTACTTGCTATCAGTCTTGCATATAACTCTGAGCTATCCCTTGTGTTCAGATATCCATGTTTTAATGATTGGGGTTATTTGCTTTATGATTTGCACTGGAGACCAAACAGAGAGTTGCAATATAAAAGAGTAGTTAGAAATATAAATTCTGGAACCACATTGCCTGTATTCAAATCTGAACTCATTACTCACTGGTTGTAAATTTTGGGAAAGCCACTTAAGATGGCGGTGCCTCTGTTTTTTCATCTCTAAAATGGGGTTGATAAGAGTAGTATATTTGTCGTTAAAGTTACTGTGAGAATTAAATCATCATGTGTCAGACATTTACATTATACCCAATACGTACCCTTTAAATATCAGCTTTTATTAGTAGTAGTTATAAATCTTTATTGCTCTCTTTAAAAATAATCAAAGTGTGGAGAATAGAAAGTATAGTGCAGCAGGTTGGGCACTTGCCTTGTACATGTCCAACCCAGGTCTGATCTCCACACCCCATATAGTTCTCTGAACCCTGAGCAGAGCCAGGAGTAAGCCCTGAGCACTAACAGGTAATTTGTAATTTAACATTTGAAGAAAAAAAGTCAGTTCCTCAGTTACCAAACAAGATATTTACCTGATATGATGTGAGCATAAATTTGGACAGAGAGCTATAGAGGGACTTGAAAGTATTTGTATTTGCTAGATATTCTGTTTAAAAAGTGAAAGTAGACTATAGACCAAACATGATTGCCACTCAATGCCTCTTTTGCAAACCACAACACCCAAAAGGAGAGCGAGAACAAAAGGGTATGCCCTGCCACAGAGGCAGGGTGGGATGGGGGGGATGGGGGTGGGAGGGATACTGGGATCCGTGGTGGTGGGAAATGGGCACTGGTGGAGGGATGGGTATTTGATCATTGCATAATCGAAACCCAAGCACAAAAATTTGTAAGTCTACAACTGTGCCTCATGGTGTCTCACTAATAAAAAAAAGTGAAGTGATTCTTACTTGAGCACTTTGCTGAGGTAGAGGTAAGGTAACTGTACATCAAAATCATAAGCATTAATGCATTTTTAACATATGACCCAAACTGTAATAATTAAATTTTTAAAGAGTTTGCCAAGGGGTAAAGTCAGAGGAATGAAGGTGACTTTGAGATAGTGGTAGATGAACACTGACAGTACACATAGGTGTGGAGTTGTAGCTATTTTCTGGAGACTGTCATTTCAAGCACCGAGTCAGAAGGAGAGGGACAGACATAGAATGATTGCACTCGTTTGTGAAAAATATATATAGATATATTTTTTTAAGTATGAGACTAATATCCAAGGGCAGTAGAAATACAGACCAGGAGGACTGGTTCATGGTTGGAAGCTTGCCACAAATGTCTGGGGGTCATAGGGCAGTTGGGATAGAGAAAGAACCACTATGACAATATTCGTTAGGAATGATCACTCTGGATAAGAACTGATTGCTAAGGTGTGATAAAGAGATATTCATGAAAACTTTTTAGTACCTATATTGCAAATCATAAGGCCCAAAAGAGGAGAGAGAGAGAGAGAGAGAGAGAGAGAGAGAGAGAGAGAGAGAGTGTGTGTATTCCATAGAGGCAGCAGGCTGGGGGGTGGTGTCAGAAGGGAAGCTGGGGACATTGGTGGTGGGAAATGTGATGGGTGTTGGAACATTGTATGACTGAAACCCAATCATGAACAGCTTTGTAGCTGCGGAGCTCATGGTGATTAAATACAAATAAATGTATAAAGAATAAAATCATCTTTGCAAACAACCCCTCCACTATTATAAATCATAGTGCTACATAAAACCCACTAATAAAGAACCTTAATAGGGTTTGCTTACATCCATAAGACATGCTTAAATCCATGCATTTTCTTGCATGAAACTTATACACCAGTAATAGAAACATCAACATTGTTTTAATTTTAAAATTAATTGAACTCATTTCCCCAGTTTTAGCTTGTTGTTATCACTTAGATGACCAGAGAATCAGAACAACTGAGAAACCTTGAAGGTTTAATAACCTTTGCTTCATCAAATCATTCATCTCCAACCAGCATTTATTTAAGACACAAAGTGCCTTCTAGGTTGCCTTCTGATGGTGTGACTTCCTGACTTTCTTTGGTATAAGTGCTATGCTTTTGCTCAAAAGGTTTATGGGAATACTTCCTAAAACTGGGGTCAAAAAGTTGCACTGAACTGGGCAAGTAAAAATATTTCTGTCATAAATCAGCTATGGGACTTAAGACACTTTAGACTTAGTACCTCAGTGTGTGACGTGAGGAGACGAGAAGGAGGCGATCTCAGCAACTGCCTTTCCCTGTCCTCTCACAGAAACTAGTATGACATGAGAGATTTGTGAGTTGCATCTTACAGGAAATTAACACAAGTCTAAATGCTATGTGTGGAGTTGCAGTAATTCTCTAATGATTTCTACAGGGGAGAGGTGACAATTAAAATTCACATATGGCGGTATTATTATTTTAGTGCTAGGGATTGAACACAGAACTGCATACATATGAGTTATGTACTCTACCACTACCACTGAATTATAAGGAGACTGATAGTCTCCAAGGACAGTCTTCCTTCCCTCCCTCCCTCCCTCCCTCCCTCCCTCCCTCCCTCCCTCCCTCCCTAGCTCCTTCCTTCCTTCCTTCCTTCCTTCCTTCCTTCCTTCCTTCCTTCCTTCCTTCCTTCCTCCCTCCCTCCCTCCCTCCCTCCCTCCCTCCTTCCTTCCTTCCTTCCTTCCTTCCTTCCTTCCTTCCTTCCTTCCGCCCTCCATCTCTCCCTCCCTCCCTCCTTCCCTTCTTCCCTCCCTCCTTCCCTTCTTCCCTCCCGCCTTCCCTTCTTTACCATACAAGATCATTTAGACCTTTTTTTTCCTTTCAGACATTCCCTCCCTTCCACCCTCTCTCTCTCTCCCTCCCTTCCTCCTTTCCTTCTTCCCTCCCTCCTTCCCGCCTTCCTTACCACACAAGACC